AAATAGAGCTAAAGAGGAAAAGTTTTTAAAAATTAAAAAGAGAGGGGATATGTTAGGAGGAAAGTGAGAGCTCTAAACCAAACACCTAAAATATTTTAAAAATCAGGTAAAATCACCTGTGCAAGTCTCTTCCAAGGAGACCTGCTATGGGTGCCGTGAGTCTCCCTGGCACGGACTGCCCCGAACTATGATTTTGTGTTCACATAATTCTTAGAAAATCGGTCTATGCAATGTTTTAAAAAAAACAGTAATTTTTTGAATACTAAAGTTACTTACTACTTAAGTTCAAACTAAAGTTATTCTGATTGCTTTACAAATTGATTTTTTTTTTCAATGACAGCAAACAGATTCACTTCCCTAGTACCAATATGCTTCCATCAACGTGCACACAAGAGAACAAGCTGGAAAGAACGAAATGCCCAGCGCAGTGTGCCAGATCCCGGCTGAGAACCACGACAGTGACAAGTTAAAATCTACCTCGACTGAGCGTGGACAAGCACAAATAATGAAGTGGGGAAATGCCTCTGTCCTTCACGTGGAGACGGCTGTGCTATGTCACCCCTACGACCGGGGTTTGCAGCCCTCCGGGCACATGGTCCGTGGGCTCTGGTGTGACAGGTACCAGGCTGCTGCCACACGGCAGGTCTCAAAACTGCCAAGCGCAACAGCTCAGAGACCAAAACCCTCATCGATAGGAATAATTGTAAAATTCATCATTCATACCCATAAAAGGTATTTCTCCTCCAAGGCTTGGGTCCCCTAACCTAAACATTCATGACAGCAGGTTTTAAAAGCAGTTCTACTTCACTCTTGAGTAAACAAAACACCCTGTTACTAGCACCTAGTAAACAACCAATTAATATCTGATTAGATAAAAACCAAGAATTTTTTTTAAACAATACCTGCTTCCTCACTCCGCTTCTCCAAAGCAGATACTCTAAGCCAAGAGCACCAGTGCATCCTTGTAGGACCCGAAACTGGGCATCACCCACACCCATTGAATGCCAGCCTCTGATCACTCTGATGGTGAAAATGCCTAGGAGCAAGGCACAAAGAGAATGCCTAAAAGGAACGGACTACTGTGCCTCACTGTGCTTACAGTAAAATGTAGCAGAAGAAAAAAAGGAGCCTCATAAGGTCTAAAGGGTCACCTTCACCATTACAGTTGAGCATAGCAAAACATTACAAGTAAAATCCCATTATAATAAGCAGCATTACAAAGGATGCTATATAACTCATTTAATTTCTGCAATGTGGCAGAAATAGCCTATGCAATGCCATGCCAGCATTTCATCAGTTGCTGGTCATGATACGTTCACTACAATAAAAATGTGGAGCAAGCAAGCACTCTCCCCAAGTCCCCCTCATGTTCCTGCCATTCTTTAGATTTAAGAATATATGCCACATTATCGCAACAGCTTAAAATGAGTCTTAGCAGTACTAGATTAAGCTAATCTGAACAGAAGTATCTATGCAGCATATGCAACTTAAAATATTATTAGCAGCACCATAACTAATAACAGCAGACATTCCTATAGCACTCAGAGAGTGCAGTAAATATGTACTTTATGGTGAAAGATATTGTAAATGCAGACATAATAAAGGATTCTTCCCTGCCCCCTGCCAAAATATATATATATATATATATATATATATATGCCACTTGCCCTGCCCTTAGAAAGAAATGAGAAAAGCTCAGTTAGCTAGGTTATTTCTAACTCTTTCTTAGCTTGCTTCAATGTCCTTCATCCTCTCCCACCTTAGACACCTAAAGAAAACCACCCAAGCCCCCAAATAGCCACAAAAGCATGGCAGGAAAGAAATCCAGAGGGAGCAGAGAGTTGGAGCTACGACTAAGCTGCAAAGGCCCCCTCCCTCTTCCCATACCCAGAAATGATCACCGCAGTTGAGACTTCATCAGAGAGAAGCAGGCGCCTTGTTTGCATCTCTCCAGACAAGGACCGGTTCCGGTAATGCTCATGTTTTAACAAGATTCCAACTCAACCCAGTGGGTGGCATGGTGGGCATTTCATCACAAGGACACTTTTTCCTGTTTGATTTTCTTTCCTCCAATGAGCACATTAAACCAACACTCCGGTGGCGTTTCTGGGTTTAACATGCTCCTTGGAGACCCACCGCAGATGCTCCGCTTCTTCGAACCCACTGGTTTCTTGCAGCCTTATCCTACCGAAGACTGTTCAACTAGAGGAAAGCGATTTTAACCAGAGCTTGCTTACATCTCCTTGCCCTCCTTCCCTGGGGAAAAGCATGAACCCGCCCCATCACTATTCGCACCTTGTGTCCTTCCCCAGCGCAGGCAGGACGCAGGAAGCACGCACTGAAGATGAAAAGGCCGAGGGGGTGCAATTTCTCTTATTCTCTCTCACGTAAGTCTTTCAGGGAGGCTGAGTGGTCCTCGATGCACCAAAGACAGCTCAGCCTCCCCGGAAGGAGCCAGAGCCTCAGTACCTAATGCTTTGGGCACCAGCTGCCATTCGGGGACCATCTCTGCCACTCAGGGCGGCGTTTTGCCACGTGGCACTCACTACATCACCAGCTTTCTGCGAGCAGTTTCTCTGTGCATCTCACTGTGCAGGTCCCACTGCACTGCCCGTGTACACTCAGGAAATGTTCCACGGAGGAGTCAAGAATCGTTTCAAAACGTGACCCGCTGGAACACAGAGATGGCGTGAGTGTTCTCTCCTATCCCAGAAAAACTGGCGTCAGTTCCAGGACGCTGGTAGACAGACAGGCGGAATCAGAGTTTCAGTAGGAAGCTTGCCCCGCAGCCCTGCGTAGAGGGCGTGGACGGGCGGGCTGCCAGCTCCTGTCTTAGCATCCTGGGGAGCAGTACTCTCCCTAAGGGATCTTTTCTGAAAGCGACACTCAGACCCACACAAAGTCAAGGCCGTCATGCCCACCCAATCTGGGGGGTCGCTGTTTCTGGCTTTTTCCCTTGGAGGGGTCCCTCAGCTACTTGGCCTGGGCCTCCTGCAGGCGGGGGGCTCCAAAGATGGAGGGGATGTCAGACCACGCAGGCAGCTCGTGCTGCAGGGGAGTCCTCCGGGGGTAGAAAGTGTGGTTGACGTCGTAGTTCAAGAGGCAGCTCAGAGACGCCATGTAGATGTCGGCGAAGCGCGACAGGCGCCTCAGGAAGTAGGTCGGGTTCTGGTCTGTGCGGAACAAGCTTCCAAACTGGGCGTTGAAGAAACTTTTGGTCATTTCTCTGAAGAAGCAATAAAAAAAACAAAGCAACAAAGAATGATTCAAAAAGGTTATAAAACCACTTAAATCAAAATCACTTTTATTTTAAAAACAGGATTCACTTGAGAAAAAAATGAGCCTAGAGCAGCCCCAACTTCTGATCAAGAAAAGTCTGTCCATCCATCTAACAAAAGGACTCCGATCACATTTCTCATTCATGTCAATGGAGAGAACAGTGTCTCAAGACCACTTTCAATTGCACGCCCCTCCAAATATGCACACCCCCCTTTCCCAAACCAAAACTCAGGATGTAGGAGCTGCTTCTGACGGTGCACAGGGAGATGTAAATGTTCTCAGAACGGGATCAAGGCCCTCCCTGTTTCACAAGATCATTGTGAGAACTGAGTAAGGTAAGAGGATTGTTTTATTAAAGGGCTGTTAATCTCCCTCATTCATCACAGATTCCAACACCTCCCAGCTCCTGGTAGCCAAGGCTGTCACCCCACCCAAGGATTAAGCCCATGCATGTGCATCTAAGTCACCGTCCCTACCACACACACAGAGGACATGCACACCCTCTGATGGCTGGGACCCCTACACACAGAATATGCTGGCGAAATTGACAAACAGCATATGACTGTTGATAAAACAGTTACAAATGCAGAAAAAATATAATGATTTACACTGTGTGATAAAAGCCGCTAGCTGGTAGTAGGTAGAGTAAGACTCAGAGCGCCAACACCCTAGAGGGAGGAGGAAGGATTGAATGCAATGCGGCTTCTGCAGGACCTGAGGAACGGGCTCATTGTCCCCTCCACACCACCTCCAACACACACACACACACACACACACACACACACACATACACACACACACACACACATGCTTGAGTCAGGTGCCCTGCTTGGCAGCCAGAACCCAGCAACCACTGTTTCCACACCTCACAGATGGCTGTGTCAGGGGCTGGGGAAGGCCGTGCCCCAGAGTAGAAATGCTTATGTAAACAGTGTCCACAGGTACAGCATCCTTCTTAGGGAAGCATGATCGTCAACAAAGCCCCTCTGGAGCAACAGCTCCCTTAAGACACATCTCTGCCAAACGTTTCTGCCAGGAGGCAGGCTTTCTTTACCAAAAAACACTCTGTTTCCTGACTGTGTGCACATTCCTGAAATAGCCAGGGTTACAAATAAGTACAGGCTTGTAGGAGCCCTAAGAATTCACTGTGGGTTCAAAGCCCGACTCCAACACTGTCCTGACAGCCACACTGCGCTGCCAGCATCACCTGCAACTGGGCCACCAGCTGCCCAAATGGAAGGGTCACGCAGGCAGGGAGGAGGAATGAGAAGGAGGAGCTCCCTCTCCCATGGCCTTCTGGCAAGGCTGGAGAAATAACAGAGGTGACAACGGGTCTCAAGGAAATGTCACCTGTCACTAATGGCAGGTAGCTGATTCTGGATACTGAGGGAGGCACATTCATACCTGGGAGCTAAAAAAGGATGCTCGAGACCATGTCTCGGGCTGGCCCTGGGGAACATGGGAGGGCTGAGCCCACCCAGGACAGGGTGCAGGTCCACTGCATTCAAAATAGGCCGCTCTTACCTCATCTCCTTTCTCTCCTTTTTCCACTCCTGCAAAACCAGCTGTGAGTCAGCATCCCTGTGAACCTGCAGGACACAAGCCAATTACCACAACTGTTTCAGTTTCGAATGAACTCATTAGGTTGTAAGAATTTTTTAATGGGCAGCTTTTCTTAGAGAAACTTTATTCCTTTAAGTTTCAGAGGCAGGCACTAGCATGAAATAATACATTTTCAGACTTCCCAATTGAAATCCTGCCTTTTTCGCTTAAAAAAAAAAACAGTTTTAAACGTCCAACATTGGATATGTGGTTTAACAAATTAAGATGGAATATTATGAAGCTATTAAACTATCAGTGAAGACTATGTATAAACATAACGCATATGTATCCACACAAAATGTATGTGTATGATACTTGTAATATCTGTTATACATATGTATTACATATATAAATATGTACTTAATACATATTTATTAATATTATTTATTAATATTTATTGCTGCCTATTACACACATTCCTCATAAGTGTATAAACATAATGGCATTAGGTGGAAATTGCATGTATAATTGCAAGCATGTAAAAATATGTGCATATATTTGGAAAGTAACATTAAAAAATTTTAATTTGTGCAAGGGTAGTAGGATTACAAATGGTTTTAATTTTTTTCTTTAATATTTTATCTTTTTAAGTGTTTAAGAGGAAAAAATATAATGATTTTTTGTAAAAAGGAAGAAGGTAGTGCACCTCAATGAAAAAGAAAAGCAGAGAACCTTCTGGTGGGCCAAAATGTGAGCAAAATGCAAAAAGAAAATGACAATTGCCCACAGCCTAATATGTGGAATCTCACAAGTCTCTTTCCAAGGTTCTTGTGGCTAATGAGAAACACTAAAGCCACAATTAGACGTGCACATGATCACAGAGGACAGGTGGGGCTCCCTGCGATTCATGACCACAGGGGTAACCTTAGAACCCAGAGGAAAATACCAAACAAGCAACCATCTGCTTTTGACGTGGGAGCCAAGGCCCTTCTGTTTATCACATCTGCTCAGCGCAACAGCTTGGCTACTAACGGTCACCGACTAAGGATCTCTGCCCCTCAGGAAAAAACCCTGTCTCAACTGAGCTTGCAATTTGGATTTATGGCCTAATACCACTCGCTGCACTACCAGGAAACAGCTACCATTGAATAACCACTGGCTATGTACCAGTCTACCGCTCTAGCACTGCTGGGAGTTTTGATGTAGGTTCTATGAGCTTATTTTTCATCCATTTTCACATTTCAAATCAACAAATTATTCACTACAGAATTTAGGCTCTACAAAATACGTAACTAGATCAGAAAATTCCACATGGGACTGGCCACCTGGGAAGAGTCCACCGATGCCAGCCACCACTGTGAGCCACAACCAAATTCTGCAATGCATATCAAGGCTAGCTAACAACAATTATCTTCCTTTGTTACAGTCACTTCTTTAAAACCAAAAATTATACACTTCTAGTTAATTCATTAGACTTGATTCCAAATGACACTCTGGCTCCAAAAAAATCAAACCCAATCTGAAAGGACCAATGTTTCTCCTCAGAAAATAGTCCAAATAATGTGCTACATGCTCTGAAAATAATCCCCAAGGGGCAGTTCTAGAAACATCTGACAGAGGCTCAAAGGAATAACTCAGACCTTTCCAGGTGGACACTGTGGAAGAGGGGCGCAGGGAGGGGAAACAGAGCACAGCGAGGGGGGACACTCATTTGGATGTTTTTTTAAATTATCAGCCACGCTCCTCTATGTCTTAGCGAACCCGACAGGCCGCTGCAAAAGGCATTAGAGCCCGAGCGTTAGAACAGAGGTCAAGGTCCTGGGGCCAGAGTGCCTGGGCTGAGTCCCCGCATCACCCTTACTTGAGCGAGTCATGTTCTCCTCTGTGCCTCTTCCTCCGTAAAACGGGGGTGACGCGTTAGTACCTGCTCCACACAGCTGCCGGGAGAACGAAATGAACGTGAAGGCCTTGGTGCCCAGAACACAGGAAGTTCTCATTCTCTTCTAAACAGCCTGATTCTGCCAATCACTAACTTTGCGACTCTGGGAAACTCACTTTTCAGTTTTCTCTCCTGTAAAAAGGCATGTAAATGCTAATTCCCTTTTCTTCCTTCCCTCACCCTATACCTTATATAGCTCCATAAGTGAACACATACACTTCCAGCACTTCCATTCTCTAAAACACACACTTCCTAATCGTCAACTTTTTATACAGCTCAGAGAAAACAAAAGAAAACAAAAAACTGTTCTCAGACCTAAAATTCAGTGGCACCATCTACATGCGGTTGTGTTTATGACCACAGCTGGAGTCACAGAGCGACATCACCTAAGGTAAGTAAAGTCTTCGGCTACACCTGAGACCTCTGAACCAGGAAAGCACTTCGGGGAGGTGCTCGAAAGCACGGCCTCAGTTCAAGTCTTGCTCTTTCACTCTGTGACCTCAGACCTGGGACCGCACCTCTCAAAAACCCCGTTTCCTTATTCTAAAAAGAAAAAACTACCCAGTCTGGACAGCTGTGACTATTAAATGTGTATACAGCAAGCACTCAGCACAATGTCTGGCACATCAAGAGTACCTATTAGTATTGTATGACATACGCGCAGACTCTAAGCTACATTAATCCAGAACTGATGCCTTGTATTTTTAGAAAATCATCTCACAGGCACGCATAGTAAGGGAAACAGTAAGTCCTCATCAGAGAAGTGCCAGGAACCAACGTAGCCAACACATACTGGCCCGGGGGACGTGCGGGGCCCCACGCGCTGGAATGCGTGCCCCGTGGCCTGCCACTTGTAGCCCTGCCTGAGCTCACTGCCCAGCCACTCCTGCGAGGCTGCCAGCTGGGGCAGGCAAGGCAGGGCCCTGCCCATTTCCAAAGCCAGCGGGCAGGCGTGGACAACAGGCCATGGACGCAGGCTGCAGGCGTGTGAGCCAAGAGAGCGGGCATCCGCGCCCTGACCCGAACAGACTCACACTCATGCTGGGATGGCCTCAGCCCAGGCAAGCTAGACCAAGGCAGAAAGCAAGGTGCCGCCTGAGCCTGCAAAGGAAGGAGGGGCCCGGGGGAGTAAGGGGGTCATGGCTGCCACAGAGGGCAGCTTCCACAGGCCAGGAAATGACCGAAAAAAATGACACTCCTCACCAACTGTCTAGAACTTGCTGCCTAACTTACAGAAAAAAGTAACCGTCACAGAATTGCAGTTAGCTGGCAAGCTGTAGGTATTATCTTCAAAATCAAATCGAGGCTGGACCCAGGGATCTTGACTCTTGCTTTGAGACTCTTTCCAGCAAGCCGTGGTGCCTGGAATGAAGTATTCATTCCATAGGACCCTTCATTTCACAGATGGGGAAACTGAGGCCCAGAATGGCGAAGTCTCACAGCAGATTAAAGGCAGGACCAGGACTAGACCCAAACACTGGCAGAGCTTCCCAAATGCCACACTCCGCAGGAGAGGACCTAACAGGGCCTCCGTGCGGCAGTGAGGACACTGGGTTTTCACCGACAGAGGAGAGTAAACAAACACCTGCATGTACACAGACCCCACAAAGACTCTCTGAATGGCTCCAGCAGGCATTTTTAAAGATCCCTTCAGGGAAAATGGCAAAACTATCTTCGGGGCAAAATAATCCCAGTAGTTATTCTACAGTCTACTAAGGACAACTTAAACCACATACTTTATAACAATTAAACAGAAAATACCTAAAGTAACATTGACCAGCGGACTAACTTCGGGCTTAAAGAAAATATGAGGCAGAAAAAAATCCCAAACCTGCATCTGCTCCAGTAACCCGGTCAAGGTCTGCAGCCAGGTCATGGTTTGAATGTACTGCTCCGTGTTCATGATTTTGAGCTCGGATCTCAACTCCGGGATAATCGCACCAGTCCTCCAGCCATGCTTTAGGGTCAAATCCTGATTGCAAAGATCACAGAAAGTCAACATTAGTCTCAACAGAATCTATACCAGTTGTTTATTACTCTTCCCAGACACAAGAGGCATTCATTTAATAACTTTTTAGATTGTAATGGTTAGTTATTAACCAAGCTGAATTCAGTTAATTATATTTAATTAAAACCAGTCTGGCCCCAGGCTTTGACCACTTCACCCCAAGAAAGTTTGTGTTCTGGAAATAACTGCTGTGACTCACAAACCCCTGCAGAAACACAGGGTCTGGAATCATTAACTACGGTCTGTGAAAAAACAATGAGGTCATGGGCGGAAAGAGGCTCAGCCTAAACACTAGCTAAGGTCTCCATGCATTCGGTTTACCCACAGACCTCCGTGCCAGGCGCTCTGGGTTACGGTGGACCATGGAATCTCAGACTTGGAATGACCACATGACATAAGCATGCATGATCACATTTTCCATTTCAAATATTGTAACCCCATGATTTGACAGCAGACCAGAATATCTAGTATCAGTCCTGTCCTGGAAAATCTAAGATAAATTGTTGTCATACTAGATGGTCATTCA